CCTCCCCGTCTGCCTGGACCACCGCGCCGCCCGGAAGCCTGCCCGCCTCGGGCCCCCGCGCGCCCGACACCTTCCTGTGACACACAATCAGCGTGGCCCACCCCGGGGGCAGCCTGCTTCCGACGCCCTCCCCGGGCACCGGGAGGCTTCGCTGGAGAAGCTGAGCAGGGGAAACTAAGGAAAGGACTTTGTGCCGAAGGAGGAGCCGCGGGCGGAACCCCGGGGGGAAACCCCTGCCCCACCCCCCTGTGCCTGCCAGGCGGACCCCGCCCTCCGTCTGCGTCCTGCCGCGGACAGTGGCACCGGGACGCGAGAATCGGATCGGACTCGAGGGACAGCGTTTGGGACGTCGGAGTTTTCCAAGGCTGGTACCCAAGGCGAGCAGACGCTAACTGAGCTCGTCCACCCGGACTGCCCAGTTCCCCAGGGCCTGGGATCTCCTCCTACAGTGACTCCACTCTCGGCCCCGCCTGGCCCCTACCTCAGCGCCTCGTCCATCTGCTGGCCTCTCACTTCCCCCTTCTGCGCGTCCTCATCCCACGACGCCTTGTGTCTGGCCCCAAGCACGCAGCCCCATCGGGGCCACCGCGGGAACAGTTTCCTCCGACTGCTGCGGCGAGCACTCGTCTTTCCCAACAGTAACTTGCTGCCTCCCCACCCACCCCCCGGACATCCCCCCTCCCCAAACTCCCAACCTGCGGGCCGGCGCTAGGAGCCAGGAGGGAACTGACGACCCAGAGATGGAAACCGGAGGCTGCCCGCCCCCCCCGACCCTCAGCCTTCCCTTGGGCAGGGGCTGAACATAGCCGCAAAAAAAAAGGTCTACACTTATTTAATATTATGGTCTTTGCAAAAATGAACAAAACGAAACCCCAAAAGGCTGCTTTGTAGAAAGACGGTGTGTGTGGTGTGGAGGCGAACCTCTCTCTGTACATATCCCCTCCCTCTCCGCCCCGCCCGCCCCGGGTACCGTAGAGTCCCTGTCCCTGTCCCCCGCCCGCCCTGCCTGTAGATACACCCTGCTGTCCGCGCTGTGTGCGTCGCCGCTCGCTGGGGGGGAGGGGGGGACACAGCTACATGCCCACTAAAGCACAGCACGTCCTGGGGGAGGGGGGCATTTTTTACGTTACAAAAAAAAATTATGAAAGAAATCTCTATGCAAAATGACGAACATGGTCCCGTGGACGCCTCTCGCCTCTGTTTTGTTGGCTGGTTCTCTGTAATTCCGTGTTTTTCCGCTCTCACCTCCCTGCATCTCTCCCTGGTCATCTCCCCTTTTCTCTGCTATTCTCCCCTTCCGTGTCTCTTTCTCTGCCTCACTCGTCTCTGTCTGGTCCGGCCCTCCTGCCCCAGGCCTCCAAGGCTACATCAAAAGTGGCAGAGCCAGCCTCCGGGCTAGCCCCTGGTGGCCTTGCCAAGGCGCCCGGGCCAGGCCGCCCTGCCCCGCCCTGCCCCGTAGTTGCTCTCCCGGTAGCCGCGACGCTTCCTGCATGTCTTCTCAAGCGTGGATCGTGACGACTCGAAATAACAGAAACAAAGTCAATAAAAGTGAAACATAAATAAATAAGTAAATAAATAAAAATCCTTGAGCAAATCCAAAAAGGCTTGGAGTCCTAGCCCAGATCTCTGTTCCCTTCGAGCCTTTTTATTTGAAAAGGAAAGCGAGAAAAGAGAATAATAGTTCAAGGGGAATGCCAGCACCTGGTCCGGGTCCAGTGGCTGGAGCCGCCTGGCGAGGTTGCCTAGGTCCCAGCTCCGAGGCCAGGCACGATCCCGGTCTTGTGTGGGGCTGGCTGCGCTCAAGGAGCGCGGGATCCAGGACCTGGCCTAGCCTTCGAAAGGTCTTCCACTGTTCTGGTCTCCTCCGCCACTTTCAACGTGTCGGTTCGTTTTGATTCTTTTTTTTCTTCTTTCCTTCCTTTCCTTTCTTTTTTTTTTTTGTGCACATGATAAATAATAATAATAAATAATAATAATAAAATTTTGTATGTCACTCCCCATGGCTCCAGGTTTGTCTCTCCCTGCCTCTGGGATAGGCCTGTCTTCCCTCTGGTGGACCCTCAATAATTCTGTCAAGGATCCAACTTCACTCCCAATGCGACCTCTTCTAAATTCTTGGCCAAGACACCCCTGGACTGCAGCTGAACTCAGATGATGGCCTGGAGAAGTTTGTCCCTCAGTACCCCACCCCCACGCCCACACTCACCCAGGCCGTGGACCAAGGAGTTTTGGCCTCCTGGAACCTTAGAGTAACTTTGACACTACCCTTCTCTCCCGAGTCAGCCTTGTCTTACTGCTGGTGTCCTGCGACCACACCTGGGGGTGGGGGTGGGGGCGGGGGGCGCAGGTTCCCAAAATGAGCAATGTCTGGGGCTCTCTCTCCATGGGTGGGGGTAGCCTGTGGTCCTATCTTCTCTCTGCTCCCCCAGGGGGTTCAGCTGCTCATTGGCACACCTGCAATTTGATACTGTGTCCCCTAAGAGACCAGCGACCTCAAACCCTGGCCCCAAGTTTCTCCTTTCAGCATTTATTTCTAGACCCTAAGAGCTGGCTCGCCGGACCTTCGTGGGCTACTTGGGTGTTGCAGAGTCCCACCTGAGACCTGTCAAGTGCCTGAAACTAGTAGCTCAGGTTTAGGGTCTGGGTGCAGGTTTAGGGTGTGGGTGTACTGAGAGAGGAAAGGTTTGGGTGCCCTGGGCAAAGGTCAATGTGAGTGGGTGGGTGGGTCGATCCCTTCCTGCATATAAATGAATTTGTGTTCTTCTGCGTGGGCCTATGTGTCCTAGAGAAGATCTAGCAGCAAAGAAGGAAGGTAATGTTGGTCTTTTTAAACACATTTGAGCTCAGGTGAGAAGAAAGGATCTATGTGTCTGTCCTTGTGTCTGTCTGTTCCTGCTTAGAGAAGGGATATCTTGATTGTCCACAGCTGTCCTGCTGTGTCAGAAAAAGCTTCGAAATATCCCCTGTCCATCTCTTCAGCAGCCTGTCAGCTTTCCTTCCCGCCAACAGACATGTGGCACCGGCTTTCATCTGTCCTCCACCCGGAGAGATTTCCTTCTCGACTTTAGAAGTGTCCATAGCTAAGCGTCCTTCTCAGCCTGCCGGCTTGAAAGGCTCGACTCTTCCAGGATTGGTTGGAGAGCTGCTAGCCGGGTCTGGGAGCAGACTAAAGAGTGACCTTCCCCGCTTGGCTGGGGCAGTGCCTTCCAGAGAGCTCCTCCCCACCAACACGTCAGAGACCTTTCCCTAGAGCGGTTTACCCAGGCTTATTCACGTCACACCACCAGGGGGATACACGGACCCCCAACATATCAGTGAACCTTTTCTCTCTCCCTTCTCGCTACCCATTCTCCTTCCCAGGAGCTAGCAGTCCTACCTCACCCGGCCTGGTGCATCCCCTCTCGGCCTCCAGTCTCCAGAAAGAACTCTTCAATCTCTTTGGCGATGCTAATGCATCTGTAAAAGAATTCTGGAAGTTCACTCTAATCTAAGCATTTCATTATGAATGAAATAGGGAAACATAGAAACAGAAGTTCTAATGGTTTTTTTTTTAATCTTAAGTAGATTATTTTGTGTCTTAGAAGATGTGCCTATTCAGAGCTTCCAAACACCCAGGAAGAACTCCTGGTTATTATCTGATGCTCAACAAGTGTTCCTGGAAGCCGACAGGACACTGGGTTAGACCAAAGTTCAGCGGCTTTATCAGAATGTTGCCCCTAGCCAGATGTAGCAGGCACCTGGCTTTGCATGCCTGCTTTCGCCTCCAGGGTTCTTACCTACCTACCCATCATCAACTGGAAAAGCCAGGGACGTTTTGGTGGATACTCTTCAGAATCGCTTATCTTCTTATTTACTTCTGGTCTTCCTCCCACCAAAATAGACGGCAGGGGCCGCACTGTTAACAGTGGCTGTTGCCGGGTGGAAATCTCTCACCGTGTCCTTCCTGGAGTGTTGATGTCATCATGGAATCAGCCTGAAGCTGCCAAACATGCTCTGGAATCCCTGCCGGCTCCCTAGTCTAACTGCGGCTCTTTCACCCACCCAGACACCAAGAGGATCTGGTCTCCCAGCTTCAGTTTGCTTTTCCCACATTCTGTCTGCTAGCCCTGCCCCACCTCGTTGGCACAGAGTCCCAAGTGATGTAGCCAAATATAACAGTTTAATAGACAGGAAAAAAAGTGTCCGGGTTGGGCAAACAGTTGGGGGCAAAGACATGAAAGTATACTAAAGTAGCTAGAGTATTGGGTGCTTGGGGTGGAACAAGGAGAGAAAATATCAGATGAAGCTTAAAAGAGTTCAGTGAGTAGCCAGGACACTGGTGAGAATGTCCATTTAAGGAAAGCCGAGTCACCCACAGTCACATCCTGCCCGTGTATGCAGCATGTTGGATTGAGTCCACTCTGAGCCAATGTTTCTTCCTTTCTCACAAAGCAGAGGTAAGCAGTATGGAGAAAATGAGGCTGTTCCTCGGGAAAGGTAAAGCCCCATGAATATCCTGAGGGGATTCCCTAATTTTTATTGGGTCAATAAAGTTAGCTCCATTCTACCAGGTGCTCAAGAATGGAGCTCAACTCTTCCTGGACACCTACCTTTTTCATGGACTCCCATGTCCACCTGATCCATCAGCAAAATCTTTCCTCTAGATAACTTCATGACGGGCCCTCTCATTGCCTTGTGCTCTCTACCCCAGTGTTACCTGTCAGAGGCTTTCCAACCACCTTAAATAAAGCAGCACACAGGTGCTGGTGATGTAGAGCACTTGCCTACATCAGAAGACCGAGGCTTTAATCTGCAGTACTGAAATAAATAAACAAACTATATACAACACCACACCATTCACTTCCCTGCATTTATATATTGTTTTGGCAGTACCTGGAGGGTTAGATTTTTGTTTGTTTGTTTGTTTGTTTGTTTGTTTGTTTGTTTGTTTTGGAGACAGGATC